ATGTTATTTTGAAAAGCCTTCTAATCTCTAAATGTGACTTCTTGTTGTTACTTAATCATTCGTTTTATAATTCTTGAACTTCACTTGATTAAGCATAACGTTTTGGTAGCAAGTTATGATTCAATATTTCTATTAATTTTTAAGTGCAATTCTCAGTTAATCGCATGATTGATTCACATCACCAAATTTTGGCAAGATGTATTTCAATTGATTTTCCTCGGAGGGAAGATGCTTCACATCGAGTATCCCTAGCTTGGCAATTTCCACTTGAACTTCCTTCAGATACCAATCCAAAGCTGGTTACTGTACCTCAAACTATTAGGATTATAATGGCAAGCAGTTGTGAGTTGATGCATGTAATTAATCTCCGATTAAAGACCTACCAAAAGAGCTTTGCATTGGGCAAGGTTACTAGCATCCTCGCATTTGAGTCAGATGGCAAAGTTAGGAACCATTCCCTTAGGACCCTTCAAGATCAAGCCAACTTCATTGCTATTTATTCTAGATGCATAGAATGTGCATGATCCAGCAAACTTCTTCAAATTCTTATTGTTGAATCACGGAGCCAAGGGGAGGCCACATCAGCAATTCATGGGCAGCAATTCGAGGGCTGCAGTTGGAAATACGTGGGATATGATTATTATAATTAATTAGATTAAATGTCTTTCCTTTTCTTTGTTTATTCTCCTAGAATATACATATATATATAATGATTCCAATGAATAGAATGAAATTTGAGTCACCCTCTAAACAATTTCTTCATGGTATAAGAGCCTAGGAAAATCCTAAGCCTTCTCAAAGTGCTGGCGGAAAACCTTCCTCCCTTTCTTCCAAACCCTTAGCCGGCGGTAACTCTCCATTATCATGCTGATAGCCTCTCTTAGGCTCTTCAAGCATCGGTAGCCCTTGCCCAAAATTTATCTTCTCTCTCAACAGAGGAAACCCAACCATGTCCATGCCATGGATAGCGAGATCTCATCCTCTTACCCAAATATTATCGGTTTAAACACCGGAAACTCTGAATTTACAAACAACTCTTCTCCTCTTCCTCCTCGCATCACAAACCACTGATTTAATAGGCAAAATTTTTTGCAATGGTCTCAATCGGTGAGAATGTTTATTTACGGGAGAGGAAAAAAGAACTATCTCACTGGTGAAGTGTCACGACCCAACCCGACCGGGACGGATCCCGTTCGCATCGGGCCGCGACACAGCCAACAAATCCAGGATCTAGCTTTGGAATTTGCTTCAGAACTTTCTTCCAAATATAACACAGACAGAAAAACACATAGCTACTATAAACATCCAAATACAGCGCAGTTCATCAATCTTTTCTTTCATCAAAATAATCATATACATATACAGTACATGGCTTCAGACAGAAGGAACAGAACAGAACAGAAAAGCCATGACTGTACTAAAATCAAAAGTATCAGGTACCTATTCACAGATCAGACTCTGGACGTCTAGTCCAAAACCTCTTTCCCTTTCCCAAAACCTGAAAACCACGCAGAAAACAAGAATGAGCTAACAGCTCAGCAAGACATCAATCACCAATCAAAATCATCAGAAACTCACATCAGAAATCACATCAGAAAAGTACCCGTACAGAATTCGAACAATTGTACAGAAATCGTACAACAGACGGAACAGATAACAGCTCAATCAGAATCAAACATCGAATACGGAAACTAAAATCTTATCAAATCGGATATCATAAAGCTTTCATATCATAGAGCAGACAGAATCATACGGAATAATCAGAGTCGTACAGAAATCAGAAATCAAATAATTCACAGAACAGATTCAGATAATTCATAAAATAGATCAGATATGTCACAGAACAGATTATCAAATATCAAACAACAGATTTCAGATAACATCAGATTTCAGATTTCAGATATCCCTGACACAGACAGAATCTCAAAGGATTCTGACCCCTTATGCCTCCCTTCCCTGACACAGACAGAATCTCAACGGATTCTGGCCCCTTGCCTCCCGTTGTTCTTATAGCACCAGAACATAACAGATAACATAGGTTCCGGAACATTTTCAGATTTCAGAGCTCATTTCAGATTTCAGAATTCTTTGACCCAGACAACGGAATCACATAGGATTTCGGCCCCTTATAACTCCCTTCTAATAGCACAAATACATCAAATATTCAAATCATCTTATTTCAGAAAATTCAGAAATCGTACGAAAATTCAGTGGCATAACAGCAGTATACGGAATTTACACAAAATTCACAGATTCAGAAATTTACCAAACTACCACAGAACATTCACAACAACATTATAAGACTTTCATTGTACTGACAACACATTTTCCAACATCCTGATAATTTGCAGTTCAATTAAAACACCGCAGAATCCAAAATATCCGGTAAAAATCTTCCAGAAAATACTCAAAACATGCATAATTAATATCTCAAAGACATACCAAAAGTTACGCGGTAAAACCTTTAGCAGTGCAAAATAAAATCAATTATTCGCTAACAGAAACAAATTTCGGAACAGAAAACGCGTCAAAAATCTCGTTTCTGAAAATTGAGAAAGGCGGAATGTGTCTTACCTCGAGTCAGTCAACTTCTCTAACTACCACAACGGACGAAAACAGACCGGAGTCGCCCAAAAATCCTCTTTTCCTTCGTTTTTCTCTCCTGGAGGTCCTTTTCTTTCCAAAATATCTCATTTTCTTATATATCCAGACTGATCGTCCCGGACGATCGCAACTTCGTCCCGGGACGATTTGGCTCTGGAAGAATTTCGTCCAAACGAAATTAATTATCGTCACGGACGACTTGGGCTCTGGACGAATTTCGTCCAGACGAAATTAATTATCGTCCCGTACGATCTGCTCTCGGGACGATTTTCGTCCAAACGAACCATGCAGCCAAACATGCTTTCCTGCACAACCTGTACCGATCGTCCCGGACGAGGGACGATCGAACTTCGTCCGGACGAACCTGGGAGCAAAATGGTCTTTACATGAAGCCCCTATACCACCGCAAACTAATCCTCTCGACATAAAATGGAAAGCAGAGAATCATTAGATAATGTCTTGGCTCATCAACTCCATGAATGCAGAAATCGGTGAGAACTTTCTTCTTTATGAGATGACCCAAGAAATATGGGAGGCCGTTAAAGAGACATGCTCCAATTTCGACAACACTTCTGAGCTATTCACAATTGAAACCATTCTTCACGACTGCCTACAAGAGGACCTAATAGTAACTCAATATTTTAATACTCTAACCTATTTGGCAACAATTAGATATGTTTGAACAGTATCAATGAAAATGCCCGGAAGATCACCCACTTCACCAAAAGATTGTTGAGACAAAAAAGAATATTCAAATTATTAATGGGTTATGATATTTGTTGAAGATGATATAGAAGTTCAAAGACAAACCACTGAAGTAGTTAATCATATCATTCCTTCTATTTAATAGTTAAAATTTCATGTGCTAGATAATTTATGTTTATGCTTTTGTTGTTGTACTAGACATTTAATGCTTTCTTTTGTTTTGATATTATAAGTTACAAGGATACAAATGATGTTGCTTTCTTCTTCTTTTTTTGTAATTTCAAATATTAAGCTTTAATTGCTT